ACCTAAGCATATACCCTACTATGATGTCATCCTTCTTTCCCTCGCAAGAAGCTCAAAAGTAGAAAAAAGATGAGTATACTGTTTTTTTATTACAACGACATATTACTAATTGATTTCAAGAACCCAGGCGTCTCCATCTCTGAGGAATTATCCTAAAAAAGGGTGGATTGCGACGGGATATTAAGGCAAAACGTCAGGGAAAACTGAGAATTGGAATGATTTCGCAGCATGTTAGCGTGCCTTCTCAAATCGCAAATGTCGCAACGCAAAAGTTACATCCAGTTAAGGTGGTACTCGAGTCCCTATTTTACATTCCTGACCTCTTTTCATACGATTTTCATGCCTTCGATCCCTTAAGTGACTGCGGTAGCCTAGTTTTCAAGGTAACGGACTCCTGGCCGGCATGTCATGAGTTCGAGTCTAGTACCACTGAAGGCCCACCGTGTTGGGGAGCGATGCACGTTCAATCTGTCGAGAGCTCAAACGTCCTACCGTTGTTGTGTTAGTAAAGAGAGGGGATTTCAGCTCAGGTGTCGCCCTAATCCCTTGATCAACGTTCAAAATTATGAGGCATGTCTCCAAAAGTCCTCGAGTAGCTGAACAGTGATAATATTCACTCATTCACGCACTAGGTCCCTTAAAATTAATTGAAAGTTAGACGAGGAAATGCAGGGTTCAGTTGGGGATATGTTTGAGCAAAACTGAAAGCGTAGTTTCTCCAAAGAAACATATACAATCTGATGAAGCAATTCTTTGATTTCCCCAATGCTCAAGAAGATTCTTCATGACTGGTATACCCTTCGAACGGAAATTTATTGTTCATCCCTTATAATTCGCATGGGAGAAGCACATCATTATTTCGAAAGAATCTCAGAATTTTGTTATCTGTACCTTTCAAAAAATTCATTTAAAAGAATCAACATAATTAAAAAGGTTTTTTTTTGTTCAACCAAATAAAACTGGGCCCGGCCGGGATTTGAACCCGGGACCTCTCGCACCCAAAGCGAGAATCATACCCCTAGACCACCGAGCCACATCTTTATTTATCAAGGCATATATCTGAACAAAAAAAGTGTTGATCAGAAGAGACACACTTTATGTATCAATATTTGTTCAGCACAGTTCTTGTATGAATGAGAATCAGCGTAGGACATATTGTACTTCCCTAATATATTCGTCATTTCAACACGCTATGTCCACCAACATTTGTATTGGATTATTAGTATGTTTTTAAAATATGTGACCTTTTTCCAGATTAGCATTTAATAAATAAAATTTCACATTTCGTGTATTAATGAATCTTTTTCTCCTTGAAATTATTATTTATTTTTTCTTGGATTTATTATTTATTATGTGATATAGATTTTTAAACTTCAAATGATAATATTGAAAAGTAGCACTTTAATATTTCGTACACAGCTTCAATCTTAAATTTTATTGGTATATTTCTTAATTTTTTTGAATAAACTCATAAAAATATCATGACATTTCACTGCCATATTTTTGGTGTAATAGATATTAGCTGCTGCAATGACTGCATTAAATGACACAGGCATGTATTTTTATAAAAGTATCTGTTAGTTTCTATTTCATTCATTTTTATATTCCTTTTTATTTTATTAATTTTTTTTCACTTCATTAGAATAACTGTTTTTTAACTCCATTGACAGTAAAAATTGATCCTAAAAAGAAAATCACTGGAATAACTTTTACATGAAAACATAACTTATAATTTTTATAATAAGAAAAATTTCATAATACTCTTTGCAGACGTATTATAGCCTTTTGAGCCAGTATACATCCACGATGATTTTGGTAAATTTTATCAAAAACCAGTGAAATAATTTTTAGGAATGTAAATGATATTCTTTGATGCCCAACTCTTATATACATCTTACATAGATTCTACAAACAGATTTAAAATTAGGGTCTTAAAAAGTACACTAGAACCAATAACAAAAATTAGGATATTTCAAAAATTTCTTAACGAAAAATCAAGTCAAACAAAAACACTGTTCAAAAAATTCAGTACGTACGGAATATTTTGACAACTGTTTGTATATCCTAGTTAGAAGACAGAAATGGAGTAATACACCCAGAAACATCTTTATTTTAAGAAAAATAACATTTTACAATTTATGATAGACTTAAAATAGCATGTCAGTGTTTAACGAAAATATCTGCCACCTGTAAAATAAAGCAAGCAAAAAACTTTAAAAACAATAACTTTTCTATCATTGTTTATAGCTATGAACATATCTCTGTATTTTTATACTTTTCAAGGATGTATTTCAAGCCTTTCTGTGGAGAGAGAAAATCCTTTCCATCAGCATCCTCGTAAACCTGAACGACCGTGAAATTTGTTACGGGAGGTCATAAATCACTTCTTTCTTCTGTCATTAAGACGACCAACTCTCCGAAAGTGACAATTATGATAAAGGAAGAGAGTGAAAAAAGTGAGTGTCTTTATAAATTTCATCAGGAGTACCTCTATTTTTACACAAAGAAAACCTAAATATTATTTTTTAACTTCAAATAATTGATAATCGTAGATATGGTGTGGGGTTTTGTTTTTACACAGCTTTCAATGCATAACTTTACTGTGATACGTACATTCATTTTGTAATCTGAGGAATATCTGATATATTCAATAAATATTTTGAGATTTTGATTTCAATTTAATAAAAGAAATCAATTTTACTTCATGTATATTAGCATTTTTTTCATCTACACGTAAAACACTTGCAGATAAAGGAGAAATTAGTTATCAAGTACCATGAATGCGTTGAAAAATTCGTTACTAAATTTTTACAGAAATTAATAAAAAAAAGTTGCTTAAAAATACAAATTCAAGAGTTTGAAAGTATCTTGAGCAATATTTATTGCACATCTTAAGCAAGAATCATACTCATTGTCTCTAAAACCTTCCACAGCAGAAATTTGTATTAAATAGCATATATCAGTATCCCAGCTTATGTTTCTGAAAAAAAATATATTCTTAAAGCTACGTGTTTATTGATTTATTGCGTGATACACACATACGATATATTTCTTTGGTTCTGAGTAATATACTATATAACATGGTTCAAATTTCGTTTAATTCTTACCTTAAAGATTTATAAGAAACTGCGATTGAATAAATTTAATTCAACTTCTATTACAATTGGAATTAACAGTCAGAATTTTTAATAAAAAGCTTACTTTAATTTATTTGAACAATTCGTTGGAATTTTTGTGTAATAGAATGTTAAATCGAACAAAAATGAGAAAATTTTAAATTTTTTCAAGAACTGAAGGAACATACATAAATCACACATAATTACCACGAACTTTTTCTTGAAGTCCTTGTGGTAATTAATTCACTAAATCTAATTCCTAAGTAAAACATTTTAATGTTGTTGAATTCAGAAAGCATGAATATTTATTAATTGATTCTTTGTCTGGAAATCTCAACATTTCATTTGAAACTAATTAATTTCACTAATTCGTATTGAAGCACTATCTTTGCATCTATCATTGTATCTAAGACAAACGAAAAATTTTTTCTTGAAGAACTTTACCAAAACTGTCTTTTTTTTTATATTCGAAGAAAATATTAATACATGGCATTTTTTGTTGTTGTTGAATTTTAAATACTGTTTGGATATTTCTTCCCCAATTTTGTCGTCGATTTTTTAAATGAATTAAAAAAATTATAAATATAAATTAACCCATTAAGTGGGCATTTTTTTTTTCTTTTTGTTAAAAGTGTTTCAAAAGAGGTACATTTTTTATTGCATGTAGCTAATTCTAATACTTAACAGAGCACGACAGTAAAAAAACTTTAATTTAATTTTTAATTTTAAAATTTTCTCTCTCACACTATTTATTATTTTATAATAATGAAACACAAAACCCCCCAAAAGTTTGCTTTTTATAACCGTACTTTGTATCCTATGAAAAACGTTCCATATATCTTAAAAAAAATTTCTCTCATACATACAAAAAAAAACTTCATGCTCGTAACTCTTTTTCAAACGGTTGAAGATTTTATGTGTGAAGCATTTGTTTACACTGTTGGCCACAATTAAAAAGCAAATCCCTAAAGGAAACATGCAAACCATGTGAAAATTACATCATGCATATGCGGTGATGAAATATGCAAATCATTAGCATTAAAGCGCAGACGCTCATCACGGGTGACAGTAGCACTAACCGCTGGCGCTATATAAAGGGAGAACAGATTGGTGGTTTGAAGTACCTTCTTGTTTTTTCGTGCTTTTTTTAAAGCTTTTTAGATATTCCTCGTGGAACGAACGTCTTTGGATCCAACTTATCTTATCATCGAACGTCTTTTGACCCAGTTTCTGAATTCAAACAAAGAAAAGAGTAGCCTATAGGGATTGCGGATTAACCCTCTCGCTCCGCATCCCACGATTTCCACGAGCAGCATATATGTAGCACAATTTGCGCAACCCTCAATTTCCACGGGTATGCATTTTTTCAGTCTATTTAACTGTGCAACCCGTGCTGTTCTTGAATACGTTTTTATTTAGGTTTTTATGTTCATATTTTTATGATCTAATTCTGTATTTTACAATAAAAACTGCTTTACGAAAAAAACTTTGCATAGTTTAACTCTAAAGTGTAAATTTAATATATAGATTTGAAATACGAAATAAAAAAGTGTGTGTGTACTTATGTACGCACGTAAGAAGTTATACTTCTTTGGCGTAACAAGATTAAAATCTTTCTAAAAATCTTTAGCATGGCAAGCTGGACCAAGGACGAAAGGTGGTCACGAGCAGAGTTGAACGATACTAACCTTCAGTCAATCGGACCAGCCAAACCTGATATAATCACGATTTAAATAAATTTGAACACCCCCGCACAGGTACAATAAGACCAATAATATGGTGAAGGGGTCGAAGGCTGGAATGATCTGTCCCGTTCTGCATATTTCTAGACAAAGCATTTTCGTATCCGTTCCTATGGAACGCATAGCAAAGATTCGCTAAAGCGAAGGGATAGCTCACTGGTAGAGCATTCGACTGCAGATCGAGTAGTTCCCGGGTCAAACCCGGAGTCTTCTTTTTCAAGGAAGTGAAGAGAAATATTTTTCTAAGAATTTCGAAGGCGGGAATGATTTGTCCCGTTCTGTATATTTCTAGACAAAGGATTTTCGCATCCGTGACGGTGTGCGTCACATCCATGACGGTTCTGCGTCACATCCGTGACGGGGTGCGCATGCATTGTAAAAATTTACCCTCATCCTATTTCTCTAACACCCCGAAACAAGTATAACTTCAAAAAATGTACAATTTTTAAACCCAATTTGAAAAAAAAAAAAAACTACGCAGTGAAAAGAATCG